GCTGCGAGCTGCGCCCCGGTGCAGCAGGTGGCCGCTCGTCAAAGCGGGATTGACGCTGGGAACCAGACCCAGCTCCCCAGCCCCTTGAGCCTTGAGCTCGCTGACGTTGTCTCTCAAGGATGCTGCTCATGACTCATGCACAAACAAAAGCATAAGACTCAGATCGGCTAGAAACTATACTATTATATAAAGATATACCTTGAGAGTGTAGGTTTGCCACGTCGACAAATCCATGAAGTGCGATCTGCTCCGGGGTAACCAAGGTTTCTAAATCCACCAACCCCCTCGCCTTCACATAATCCAGTAGCCGGTTCTTCAGGTCGACGTCACCAATTGTCAGCTGTGGGTAGTTCATATAGGTGTTAGGCGTGCGCCACTCTGACAGACGGGTGGCGAGCTCGTTATTGATTCGTTCAATTCGTGTGTCCCGAACGAAGACGAACTGTCTCTTCCACCTCGCCACTTTGTTCCTTATGTTGGTGAATATCATCATTTTCTCTCTCCTCGAGATGTAGTACCATCTCATTCCACTGGTGGACGGGCACAACGGGCACAAGAAGAGCGACCTGAAGACCACCGCCTTAGCAGGCATCCTCAACCTTTTGCACAATAGCATAAAGCCTATGATAAACTTTATGCTGTTGGGAGTAAGCTGCGTAAGGGCCAACTCGTACTCTGGCAGGACGTCAAAAATTAGTCCGGGCAGAAGAAAACGTAGACCGGTGTCAAAATGGTCTACGTATACTGGCACCCAGCTCGTCCGCGACACTGAACACGCCCGTTCATTTGGTGTCCCAGCTCAGATCAGGATGGTTCTAGGGATTTGGAATCGCCTCACCATCTCCTCCAGCTTCTTGTACCCCTTCACCGTGGCGGCGCCATCTGCAACCTCATGATGCAGCATCGCCCTGAACTTGAAGCCGGCCGGTAGGGTTTTGGGAGCCTTACGAAGGTTATCCAGCCATCCACTAAGAACCTTGCTTTCCCACCCTTCGAACACCACCACCTCTGCTATTGCACTTGTCACCGGTGCACTGCAACCAACCTCCTCCACGCCCTCCGCCCCACTAGGTGTCTCTTCCGTGGGCGAATCACTGGAGGTTGAAGGCTGGTGGCCCTCAGAACCACCACTTACGCTCGAACTGGCGTTACTCTCAGGCGCGGCGGTTCTGGGCAAATCCTGCAACTCCGGCGGCACTATCATCGCGATAGGCTCCACGGATATCACATCAACATCTTCCTCTTCACCTTGGTTACCCCGGAACCCTTGTGCATCGTGGAAAGAAGCCATTTTTACCTGAGTAGTTGAAGGTTAACGTGCTTTCGCTAAAAGTCTGGAAAAATGGCCGTGAATGTCTCTGCAACCTTCTCTGAAAAACGTACGAATGTGCTTTGCAATGAAATGAAAAGAAATGACAAACTGTTTGTTTTGTTTTTGCCATTCAGATGGTGCTCCGTAAACACCGTACGCGTGTTTACGGCCCCCCAGTTAAGCGTGTCCACGTGGCAATCATTTATGGTTAAAAACCCAAAACGCGCCGTTTGCAGCTGTCACGTCCCCTCAAATGCTGAACCAGCATTTATTGCGGGGAGGCAAAAGGGTATCTGTTAAAAGCAGAAGAATACCAAACACCCTGAGCAAATCTCCTCAGAGATTCGCCACAATTGTTGAAAAATCTGAAGGATCAGATCGCGACAAACTTCAATGATCAGCTCGTAACAAATTCGAGACTTAGGCAAATCTCCTCAGAGATTCGCCACAGTTCAAATTTTTAAAAAAAAAAGTTTAAGGGATCAGCTCGTAACAAATCTGCGATCTCCTCACAAATCTGCCATAATTCAAAACTTGAAAATCTCGAGAAATCAGCTCGTTAATCAGAGATCTCTTAAGAGATCCCAAATTCGAAAAACCTCTGGAGGTCAGGTTGCACAAATCATGGATTCACCTCGGTTTCGGGCATCGAGCGTTAGATTGTAACCAACTTCCTCAGAGCTGCTCTGTATCCCAGAGATCTATATTGAAGTGACGAGTGTGGTCGCTACTCTCTGCTCGTCTAGGGTCGGTGCGTTCAGCTCGTTCACTATCTGCTCGCCTCCGTTCTGCCGTAGAGAATTCATTATGCAAGATCACCCTTGCACGCCTGCCCGACCCTCTAATTGGCGTCGAGCTCGACTAGCTTTGACATCAACTCCTCACTCTTGCTCGGTAGAAAGCCGGCATACACTTTCACATCCGGCCAGGCACGATGTCTTTAAGCCGCTCAAGTTGGCCATGCGTGAGGTCGTTCATGAACGTAAAATGTCACCCCTCATCTTTAGGGCCAAACACCGTGCTAACAAAACTCTCCATCCAGTTCATCAACCGAACGCTGAGGGGGGAGTAATGTTGGGATTAGGCCCAACGCCCGCTTCGGGCCGCACCTAGCAAGCCCAACTATGCACACACAGGCCCAAGAGAAGGAGACATACCCATGTGAGCACCACCACGTGGGCCAATGGGGTACTTACATGTATTGATGCATGTAAGCATTTGGGGCTATAAATACCCCCCAACCACCAACAATAGAGGTAATTAATCTCTACGCTTCTCTCTCTGCAATTATTCCTTGAGAGCATCTCTCTCTAGAACCTTGAGTATTGCTGACTTGAGCGTCGGAGTGTTTTCCCCGAGGAAACATCCTCGAGATTTACAGGTGTACCAGCAGCTAAGGACTTCAACAGTGTTGGATTGTGAAGCTGTCCGAACAATTTCCAAAAGTCAAAAAGCAATTTCTTTACCCAAGAAAAGAAACCAAAAAGTAAAAGTAAAAGCAAAAGCAATGGGAAAAGGATTATAATCACGTCTGGATTCCATGGGAGGTGGTGAATTATTGCAAGCATTAATAATGCAGGGAGGTCCAGTTGCGCGTATGCTTTTTTTATCTTTGATAATGAAATCGATTCCGTGCATTCCAGCTGTTTTTCACTTTTTAAGTAGTGTGACCATCCCTACCATCACGTGGAGAATGTATTGTACATATACTTGTTTAATTTTGAGAAAACTTAGATCTTCCGTTTTAGTTTTGAAAATTTATTAAAAAGTTATTTTAAGGATTAATTTTAAAATTTTTAATAAAATTTTAAATTAATGAAAAAATAATTTACTTAAAAGGAATTTACTTTTTAAAATTTCCCAAGCACCCTCATAATTTC